AAGCACCAAAACTTCAAGGCCCTGCTTTCTTTCTTAAAAGTACTTTAAAGGAGAATTTGTTTGTATTTTTTATTTACATTTTATATTTTTGTACATATTGTTAGGAGGTCCGCCATTTTTAAGTGATCTCGGATTGACCAAAAGGGGGGCTTTGAAGTGTATATCTCTCTTGTTACCTATCTCTGACTTGTGGTGTGACCAGGCCCAAACCATTATCTCAAAGGAGAATAAAACAAAACCTTGTAAAAAAATTAAAAAAAAAAAAGACAAAAATGCAAAAAAAAAAAAAATTTACAATCTTATTCTGAGCATTCCAGTAACTTTTTTTGTGTATGTCCTTTAGCTGTACCATAGATCGTGGTTTGTATGAGGTGGCAAGGCCAAAGATAAAAAGGTTTTCTTTTTTTTTTTTCTGTCTATGAAGTTGCTTTTTATTTTTATTTTTTTTTCTTTTTTTTTGGCCTGTTTGATGTATGTGTGAAACAATGTTGTCCAACAATAAACCGGAATTTTATTTTGCTGAGTTGTCCTAACAAGGCTGCCTCCCAACTGCTGCTTTTTGTTTTAGTTTTAATTTGTTTTAGTGTTTTGTTTCTTTCTTCCCCTTCTTTCTCTCCTTTCTTTCTTTGCTTTGGACTTGGGCTGGGACGAGAGTTGGAGAGAGGGTAGCGGGGTGCAGGGCGTTGGTGGGGAGGGCCTGGGGGCTGTGGTCCCAGCTGGTGTCTGCAGCGCGGGGCTGGGCCATCCCCCTGCTGCCGCTGCCAGGGCAGGCGAGGCAGCGTGTTCTCATGGCTGTGCTCTGTGGAGAGCTGCAGCTGTGCCCCCGGCACGGCCTCTGCGTGATCCCACACGGCCTGGCTGCTCTTGGGGATCAGTAGGGGCAGGTTAGACTGGGAAACCATCGGAGGTACAGGCTAAAATGAAAGTGAGCTGGCGTGTGTGGGTATGGGGTGCTCGGCAATCCTGCTGTCCCTGTACAATCAAACTTGGGGATTGCGTTTGGCTGGCGCAGTGGGGATGAGAAACCCATCCCAAAAATCCTTCCTTGCAATGCCTGCTGCGGGTGGGTGACCCTCCGGTTGTGGGGTGGTGGGTGCTGAGGTCATGCAAATGCCTCCCCTTCCTTTGGGCCGCGTGAGGCAGCACGGGGCTTGTTTACAGCATTGCTGGCAGCGGGGTAGGACGGGTGTGCTGGAGGAGGCAGCGTTCAGCAGAGATTGAATTCAGTCGGAACTGGTCCCTGAGGGATGCTCCAGCCTGCACCGGCTGCCCAGCAGTTTCTGGGGTGCCAAGTTAGCAGAGGTTTGGCGGTGGGACCCCGAGAGGCAGGCTGGGGTTTGTCTGTCCGCTTTAACCCAACCAAAAATGCTGTAACTTAGCCTAGACCTCTGCTGCTTTGCTCCTCCTAACCTTCCTCCAACTTACTTTTCCCCCCTCCTCTAGGGCGTTGGAGCTCAGAACAGCTCAGCTCGCTCTGCCAGGTGTGCAGAGACCCGTTTGCAGGAACCCTCCTTGTATCTGTGCCTTCCAAACCCTCGCCCTGGCTCTGGCGAGTCCCCTTTCCCCCACTGACCCGGCCCTGTGCTTGAAGCCGTGCCAGATGGTCTCGTTTCCTCCTCTTGCCCTGCAATCCCGGCAGTTAGCGTTCAGATGCTGGGGGGTGATTTTTTTTTTTTTTTTTTTTTTTTTTTTTTAAAAGAAGAGGAACTGTCGTGCATTCAATGCGTTGGCTGCGAGGGTCACAGCTTCTCCTGATCCCTGGGAGCCGCCAGGTCGCTTACTCTGTATTTACACCGGTGGGAAATAAGCTCAAAATCTGGCTCCTTGTCCTTAATTATCCAACTAATCATGGTGCTAGCTGATAGCTTATCAGATTTACTGCCTCAATCCCCCGGCCGTATCCAGCCCTGCCTCTCGCCTGCCTGGGCGATGGGGTGCTCGTGGCAGGGCTGGAGGCCGGCGCTAGATTTGATTAGCGGGTGCTCTGATGTCCCCGATGGGATGTGACAACATGGGAGCAGCAAACGGCGCTGCCGAGTGTCACCGACTGTCACTGTACGGCTGGGTGGTGCCTTGTTGTGCCGTGCCAGTGTCCCCGCCACGGCTGCCCTGTGCAGGGCTTGTGGACCGCGATGGGCTCTGACGACGTGCGATTCAAGCTGGTGTTTGCAGATTTGTGAGGCAAATTATTCAAATAAGTTTCTGCAGCTGAGGAGCCGGTGAGCAGGCTCCGCATGTCACCGAAACATGGGGACCCTGCGCGCACAGCTGGCGTGAGGCCTCCGGGGGGGGGAGATTTTGGGGGAGCGGTGACCTTACTGCCCCCCACTGCAGAGCAGGACCTGTCCTACAGCCTGTAGCCCCCCAAAACCTGGGGGTCTTGGGTAGTAGGGTCCTCTTTGGTCTGGGATGCGGGGTGTGGGGTAAAACTGGAGGCTGCCCCCGGCCTCCCAGCTGGACAGGCCGGTGATGGGTAGGGCACGGAGCAGCTGGGGGTGAGGAGAGGGCAGGGCAGGGGGAGCCCCCACTCCCACAGCTCCTGGTCCTTGCCTGGCTGCCATAAGCCCCGCGGCCGCTGGCGGCGGAGAGGCCAAGACCTGCTCCCTCGCCTTCAGCTGCGCAGGGCAGCCCTGGTGTTTCTGCACCCCATTTCTACCCCCTCTGGGTACCAGCCTGCAGTCACGGCTGGGTCCCGGGGGGTCTGGCAGCCCCCCGCCACCCCATGTACCCTGGACATGCTTCCATGTCTTCGGTGCAGAGAGGGCAGACGCTGCCCCAGGCGTGGAGTGGGGCAGGAACAGGCTGGTCCTGGCACTGGGGGCTGAGACCGGCCACAGCTCGGTGCATGGGCCACCGCAGGGAGCCCTTCCCCAGCCCCACTGCCCAGCCACCTGGCCCCAGCCAATCCCCACGCACCAGCGCAGCCTACCAGCCAATCCCGCACTGCCACCTGTCCCTCCCTCCCCCCCACTTCCCTCCCGCCCTCGTGCTGCCTCCGCCAACCACAATCAAGCAACACCCAGGCCTGACCAATCCCGATCTGCCACCTGGTGCTTCCCCCCCCCCAGCCAACCACGTGCTGCCACCTGTCTCTACTGCTGTCTCACCCTTCGCAGCAGCAGCTCACCAATCGCAGGGTGAGGGAGACTGCTCCGAACCAATCCGGAGCTGCCACCTGTCAGCTGTCCCAGCAAATCAGGGGCAGCCCTACCCCCCCAAGGGTATAAAGGCCCCTCAGTGCTGGGGCTCTGTCTGCGTTTGGGGCTGTGCTAGGGTGGAGGAGCGATGGTACGTTGAAAGAGCCTCCTGGCTGTAAGGTCCCGGGAAGGATGCAGGCTTGAAGGTGGCTCTTCATCTCATTTGGTGCCCGATGCCACGCGGGGCCTTCTGGGTGAATCCAAAATGCTGCAGGGATTGCTCACCTGGATGATGTCTTGGGATGGGGACCGGGAGCAGCAGGTCCCCCTCAGCAGGAGAGGGCTTGCAGGAGTCGTGCCAGCTGAAGGCACCTCCGAAGATGTCTTAGAAATGGTCTCCTTGGTGAGCTGACCTTGTGCCAGGGGCTGCCCGCTGGGATGTAGGGAGTCCCACCTGCCTCTGGTGCGCAGAAGATGACCTCCACCACTGCCTGGTGACCGGAGCCAGGCTCCGTGGGGGCTGATGCCACGGGACTGGAAGTGAAGAGCATATGGCCATTGGGTGCCGTGGTGCTGGGTCCCTCACCCAGGGCTTCACAGGTCGCATGTTCAGCTGCAACCTGCGGAGCAGAAGTACTGCTTGTGCTGCCCCTTGCCTGCAGACGTGACCCATGCGTCATGGACAACTTGATTCCTGGTTGGACTGCTGATCGTGCTGGTCCTGGAGACCACGGAGGTGAACATCTGAAGTTGTTCTGGGGTGCGCTAGCTGGCTACTGACCACCGAAGATAGCCCGGGTAGCTGCCAAACATAGCCATCGGGAGAGCTGCAGGGTGCCTCGTATAAGCCTGGAAGGCCAATGTGCACAGGTGGCCACTTGGACCAAGGGCAGCCCTTCCCAGGGACTCTGCTGTGGCTGGGCCTCAGCTGGCACGACGGTGTCCTGCGTGTGGCTGAACAACCAGGTGAACTGAGAGCAACTTCCATGTGGTCAGCCTGAAATGCAATGCACCGGTGGAGCCGTGCTACCAAAGGTCACAGCCAGTGTAACCAGTGGGGCTGAGCCTATGCCCTGCGGGCAACTGGACTGGGTATGGACCAGCAGACCTACCTCCAGTCCTGACCTCCTGCCCGTAGTAGGTTAGGGCCTGTTTCATCAGCTCAAGCTTGTCCTGCACCAGCTGTAGCTTTCAGTCAGCCTCATCCAAAAATCTTATTGTATCTTGACAACCTTCATGAAATTTGGAGCACCTTGAGGGCTTGGTGGAGAACCTGCCTGTGGGCAATGCAGGACTTGGACTCCAAGCTAGACATGGGCTGGGGCTACTGGTGCAGTTTGTGTCTGGGCAAATAATTGGCATCTACTTGAGAGTCTGATGAGTGAAACTGCCTTCCAGGCATGACTCCTCAAGATCACAAACACAGCTGTTGAAAATAAGACATGAAGAGCTGTTCCTCTGGCAGAGCAATTGCCATCCAGCTCAGGGTGCATGGTGTCCTGAGGGAGCAGACCCCTTGGGAACGGGCTGAGGAAGCCTGGGGCCCTTGGCTGGTCTTGGCCCATCCCACATAGCAAAGATGTGCCTCCTAAGTGGCGTAGGGATGTTTGTGTGCTTGACCGGAGAGCTGTCTGGCACAGGCAGGAAAGCCCAGCCCATGCTGAAGAGCAGATGTGGGAGATCTGGTTCCTGTCTCATCCCTGGCTGCCATGGCCTGTCCC